CCCGTGTCGGTGTCCCTCTGGCTGTGCCTCCCGCGAACCGGCCAGCCTTCCTCAGGACGTTTTCCGTGTGGCCCCCCCACGCACCTGGCCTGCCTGAGCTCCCGAGGCCAGGGTGGGGGGAGCGGTGTCCGGGCCTGTGTCCCTCATCGGGCCCCCGCCGCCTGCGTCCTGCCAATGGCCCTTCCCCTGCCACGTCCCTGCCACCACGGCCAGCCGGGCCAGGGGGCCAACCGGGACCTCCTATCACACCAGCGGGGGTCTGAAGGCACGCCGCTCCCGCCTCCCCGCAGGCCGATCTACACCCCTCTTGGGCCCCAGAGCCCTCCTCCGGCCCCACACGGCTCCCGGCCCGACCCCAGGGGTGGGGCGTGAGGCTCACACGGGGGACCGCACCGGCAGCCGGCCCGCGCCCACGCCCCCTTCCCGGTCCGTCACTTGCAGTGCTGCGGGCCGCCCCTCACGCCCAGGGAGGAGGTCTGGGGTGCGGGCCTTCCCGATGTTCCTGGCCAACGTGTCCCGGTGCTGGGTCAGAGGGGCGCACGCTGACGGCCTGGGCCAGTCCCGGGGCTTGTCCTGCGGGCTCGCGGCTGCATGTGCCCGTGGCCGTGAGCGTTGGCTCGCGCACCTGGCGGCCTTGCGCCCGGCCCGTGCGACCAGGGTGGAGCTGCCGGCAGGGCAGCGCCTGGAGGCCGGCACGCCGAGGGAAACCGAGTCCCCAAGGCAGCGGTCGTGCCTGGGGCCGGGGTGCCGGGGTGTCTCTGCGTCTCCCTGGGGACATCGGGCAAGCGGGGACCCGGCGAGGGCAGCGGCTTGCGGGATGTGGCTTTTCTTTTGGTAGCTAAGATGCTTTCAATGGTTTGAGATTTCCTGCCTCTGGATCAAGGTGGTTTTCTCCTGCCTTTTTTTTTTTTTTTCTTAAAGTGGTTTTAAAAAAAACTGAACGTTTCAGAGAAATGCCCCAATACAAGCTCCTTACGGCAAGTAAGTGCCAGGGCTCGGGTGAGCGTCGGTGCACCGTGACCCTCAGCCTGCGGCAGAGCGTGGCTGCAGGCGGGAAGGCCGCGTGTCCGACGGCACGGCTGTCCCCGCACCCGGGGGCCTCAGAGCCCCTCGATGCACGTGACGCTCAGACGCGCGCCCCCGGACACGCGTGTGCACCTGAACCTGCGTGGGGCCGAGCCTGTGTGTCCCTGTAGCTCTCGCCCCAGCGTCTCAGGCCCAGCCCGTCCTGGGTGCAGTGCGGGGGCAGGGCTGCTGGCTCCGCTGAGGCCCCGAGCTTGCGGCCGAGGTCGCAGCCGGCCCCGTGTTCCCGTCCCGTGCCGCCTGCCAGAGGAGCAGCGGCCGCCTCGCGGGTCCCCGAGGGCCGCGGGTCCCCGCCCCAGGCCGGGCAACCCACCTGTCGCCTTCCTTTGCAGTTTGGCAATGAGGAGCAGCAGCTGGCCTGGGCCAAGCGGGAGAGCGAGAAGGCGGAGCAGGAGCGGCTGGCGCGGCTGCGGCGGCAGGAGCAGGAGGACCTGGAGCTGGCCATCGCGCTCAGCAAGGCCGACATGCCCGCCTAGGCCGCCGGGCCGGCGGGGCGGGCGGACGGGGCGTCCACGCGCACACACTCAGAGCCGTCCCCGATTCACGGCGCGGCTCGCCTCAGCCACCACGCGTCCCGGGCCGGGCACCCCCAAGCGTCCCGGGCCGGGCCCCCGTAGGGGTAGTCCCAGCGCAGATGCAGCTGCGGCAGAGAGGCCGTCCCGGGAGCGTCCCACGCGGGCCGCCGCCGGCCGCCTCTCCCGAGCGACTCCCACCCAGGGCTGACGGGGACACGGGGCGGGGGCGCACCCAGGCCTTCCCGCCGCCCCCACTCCTCAACACCCCACGCCCAGCCACACTCCCCCGATGTGATTCATTCGTGTATAAAACGAATTTGAATGATAAATAAAATATTTTAATACAAAACCCGAGAGTCTTCTTCCATCTGTCCAAACGTTGTTTTCCTCACGTGGGATCACGGAAGCAGAAAAATAGGGCGACGTTCCCTTTTGTTGTTTTTTGAGACAAGTTCGCTTTGTTCCCCAGGTAGAGTCGAGTGCTGTGCGTCATCGCTCACCACAACCTCAAACTCTTGGCTCAAGCGATCCTCCTGCCTCCCAGACTCCGAAGTAGCTGGGACTACAGCCATCGCCCACCCACTGTAATTTTCTACTGTAATATTAGTGTTGGCCAATTAATTCTTTCTATTATATGGAGACGGCTTCGCTCTTGCGCAGGCTGTTTCGACTCCCTGACCTCGAGCGATCCTCCCGCCTCGGCCTCCCAGAGGAGCATTCATGTTTCAATGCTAAGTGTCTGGACAATCTATTGGGGCCACGAGAAACCATTTGGGAAATTCAAATTTTCCAAAATGCAGGCCTGCTGCCCCCCACCACTTGCCAAGGTGTCTTCTAAGCGATGTCGAGCCTCTTTTGCCCTCGCTCCTGACACGTACTGCGTTGCTCTCCACGGTTTGCCCGGACCTGAGTGCACCGGGCAGGCAGGGCCGGTCTTCCACCACCAGCCATAACTCAAGCCGGGAAGAACATGAGCCTCCCAACTTGGAACGTTCTGGAAGCTCAGACATAATTGTTGGGAGGATCCCAGGAGTTATGGAGGATGTTGCAGGTCCCCCCCCCCCGCCCGAGCCTGGCTTTGTTTCTCCCTGTCCCCCAAGCAGGTGAGTCATGCCAGGTCGGTCTCTTTCGCATTAAGACGATTAAAAACCCGTGAAGCTTGTGAATCCATCTCACGCGATTCTGGAGGTTGGGAAGTTCAATGTCAAGGTGCCCATGTCTGGCGAGGCGGGAGGGGGCAGGGACGAGGGTGCACGGGAGGTCCGAGCTCGCGCTCACTGCCTCCCACGCACAACGTGAGCGCAGGAATCCGCCCGAGAGGCGAGGCCCCTGTGGCCCCATCACCTCCGACCATCATCCCACTGGGGCAGCCGTCAGCCCGGGCCCGGAGGGAGCGTTCCAGCCGCAGCACCAGAGAAACAGCAGAGAACCGGGCAGGGTCACGGGGGGAGGTGCAGTCGTCCAAAACCTTCCACCTCACGGTCAGCCCTTACTGGGGACCGAAGAGCAGGTACGGACCCCGCTCCCCCTGCTCGTACAGCGTGAGCGTGGGAGGAGTTCCGCTCTTCCTCGGGAAGCTGCCCCTCGGTGTTGTTCTGTCTCTCTGGGAACGGCTTTGCCGGCTCCCTTCCCGGGGAGCAACCTGCAATCCCAGCACTCTGGGAGGCCGAGGCAGGAGGATCGCTTGGGGCCAGGGGTTTTGAGACCAGCCTGGGCAACATAGCGAGACGCCGTCTCTACAAAAAATAGAAAAAATTAGCCGGGCATGGTGGCGCACGCCTGTAGTCCCAGCTACTCGGGAGGCTGAGGCAGGAGGATGGCTTGAGCCCAGGAATTTGAGGTTGCTGTGAGTGAGGCCGAGGCCACTGCACTCTAGCCCAGGAGACAGCAAGACTCCGGTCTCCAAAAAAAAAAAAAAAAAAACCCATAGGGAAGAGAAAATGCGGTTTCCATTCCTTAAGTGGGAGTGGATCATCACCAAGGTCCTCATCGTGCCGAGCAGGCGGCGGAGGAGGAGGGAGGGCTGGCCTTGCTCGGGTCGTGGCCCGGGGCAATTCCGGAGGCTTCCTTCCTCCTGGGGTGGTGGGGGGGGGGAGCCCCTGGCGTCACGGCTCTCAGGGAAGGTGCAGAGTCACCTCTGTCCGGGGTGGTCTCAGCGGTGGCACCGGGCACAGGTGGGGCCCGCGGTCTGGACCTGGCGCGCGACCCCACGGTGTCCAGAGCGATTCGGCCCCGTGGCCCTGCTGGCCGGAGGCGGGGAGGGCGGCGCCAGCTCACTTTCCCGACGCCGTGCGTGCAGCCATCTGCCCAGAGCCCCGAGCCCGGTGGCCGCCCTCGCCCTATGGAAGGAGTTGAGCCTTTCTCAGAAAGCCTGAGGGTTTCTGGCTTCTCGCGCCTTCTGCTTATTCACATGCCCGCGGTCTCTAGGAGAGACAGAAAGAGCCTCTTGGTTTCTTAGAGATAGAAAACCGTGCGCCGGATTCATTGCTCTGCCCCGGGGCGCGGGATGGCTTTTAGGGGGTCGGCGACCCCGGGAATGCAGGTCTGCGGGTGTGTCTTTGGATGTGTGTGTGCAGCGTGTCCGTAACTTTTGCATCTGATTCTTGACGAGGTTCTCAGTCCTCCCCCGAAGACGTCAGGAGCCAGTTTAAAGCGTGTTTCCTCCCTAGCTTGACACACACGGACCCACACCCCTGCTGTGTAAGTCACCGGTGACAGGGCCGCTGAGCCAGCTCCACTCCCACTGGCTCGTTTTCAGTTGTTTTTTTTTATTTTTTTATTTTTTAACAGAGACAGACTCTTGCTCTGTCACCCGGGCTAGAGTGCCGTGGCGTCATCACAGCTCACAGCAACCTCCCACTCCTGGGCTCAAGCGATCCTCCTGCCTCAGCCTCCCGAGTAGCTGGGACTACAGGCACGCGCCCCCACGCCCGGCTCATTTTTCTTATTTTTTGTAGAGCAGGGGACCTCACTATGTTGCCCAGGCTGGTGCTGAACTCCTCCCGCCTCGGCCTCCCTAAGTGCTGGGATTATAGGCGTGAGCCATGGCGCCCGGCCCGCCTCGGCTCTGCCTGCCTTTTCCTGAGCAGGGAACAGCTCCCGCCCTTTCCTGGAAAACAGAGTATCCAATTTGAAAAAATGTGTTATGAAAATTTCCAAACGTAATCGTGGTGATTAAAGGGCAACAACCCCGTCACCTCCACCCCTTGCCCGGCGTCAACTCTAATCCAGATTTTTCCACCTTTGCTTTACAGAAGTGTTTTAAAGCAAATCGGGTAGCCGGGCATGGTGGCGCATGCCTGTAGTCCCAGCTACTCGGGAGGCTGAGGCAGGAGGATGGCTTGAGCCCAGGAGTCGGAGGCTGCTGTGAGTGAGGCTGACGCCAAGGCACTCTAGCCCGGGTGACAGCATGAGACTCTTGTCTCAAAAAAAAACAAAAACCCACAGGGAAGAGAAAATGCGGTTTCCATTCCTTAAGTGGCAGTGGATCATCACCAAGGTCCTCATCGTGCCGAGCAGGCGGCGGAGGAGGAGGGAGGGCTGGCCTTGCAGTCTCGGGTCCTGGCCTTGCTCGGGTCGTGGCCCGGGGCAATTCCGGAGGCTTCCTTCCTCCTGGGGTGGTGGTGGGGGGGGAGCCCCTGGCGTCACGGCTCTCGGGGAAGGCGCAGAGTCTCCTCTGTCCGGGTGGTCTCAGCGGTGGCACCGGGCACAGGTGCGGCCCGCGGTCTGGACCTGGCGCACGACCCCACGGTGTCCAGAGCGATTCGGCCCCGTGGCCCTGCTGGTCGGAGGCGGGGAGGGCGGCGCCAGCTCACTTTCCCGACGCCCTGCGTGCAGCCATCTGCCCAGAGCCCCGAGCCCGGCCGGGGCGGGCGGTGGCCGCCCTCGCCCTGAGAAAGGAGTTGAGCCTTTCTCAGAAAGCCTGAGGGTTTCTGGCTTCTCGCGCCTTCTGCTTATTCACATGCCCACGGTCTCTAGGAGAGACAGAGCCTCTTGGTTTCTTAGAGATAGAAAACCGTGCGCCGGATTCATTGCTCTGCCCCGGGGCGCGGGATGGCTTTTAGGGGATCGGCGACCCCAGGAATGCAGGTCTGCGGGTGTGTCTTTGGATGTGTGTGTGCAGCGTGTCCGTAACTTTTGCATCTGATTCTTGACGAGGTTCTCAGACCTCCCCCGAAGACGTCAGGAGCCAGTTTAAAGCGTGTTTCCTCCCTAGCTTGACACACACGGACCCACACCCCTGCTGTGTAAGTCACCGGTGACAGGGCCGCTGAGCCAGCTCCACTCCCACTGGCTCGTTTTCAGTTGTTTTTTTTTATTTTTTTATTTTTTAACAGAGACAGACTCTTGCTCTGTCACCCGGGCTAGAGTGCCGTGGCGTCATCACAGCTCACAGCAACCTCCCACTCCTGGGCTCAAGCGATCCTCCTGCCTCAGCCTCCCGAGTAGCTGGGACTACAGGCATGCGCCCCCACGCCCGGCTCATTTTTCTTATTTTTTGTAGAGCAGGGGACCTCACTATGTTGCCCAGGCTGGTGCTGAACTCCTCCCGCCTCGGCCTCCCTAAGTGCTGGGATTATAGGCGTGAGCCATGGCGCCCGGCCCGCCTCGGCTCTGCCTGCCTTTTCCTGAGCAGGGAACAGCTCCCGCCCTTTCCTGGAAAACAGAGTATCCAATTTGAAAAAATGTGTTATGAAAATTTCCAAACGTAATCGTGGTGATTAAAGGGCAACAACCCCGTCACCTCCACCCCTTGCCCGGCGTCAACTCTAATCCAGATTTTTCCACCTTTGCTTTACAGAAGTGTTTTAAAGCAAATCGGGTAGCCAGGCACGGTGGCGTGTGCCTGTAGCCCCAGCTACTCGGGAGGCTGAGGCAGGAGGATCGCTTGAGCCCAGGAGTCGGAGGCTGCAGTGAGCGAGGCTGACGCCACGGCACTCTAGCCCAGGTGATTTTGAGAC